TGTTTAACATATTCTTCACCTCAAACATTTACCATCTCTTTGTGTTGAGAACATTTAAAATCTCCTCATAGCTGTTTTGAAATCTTCAAGACAGGATTGTTAGCCATAGTCAACTGCTTGGCCATGGATAACTAGAACCCGTTCCTTGCATCTTCATAACTTTGCCCCTGTTGACCTATCATGCTAACCCCAGCCCCTGGCAGCCCCTTGCTTTCTTTTCTGAGACCAGCTTCTTTAGGTTCTACATATAAGAGAGAACATACCCTATGTGCCCCTCTGTCTGTCTTATTCTATTAAACAGAATGTTTTCAGTGATTATCTGAATGTATTCAGAGATGTTACTGCAAATGATAAGATCTTATCTTTTTAAAGACTGAATAGTGTTCCGTTGAGTATGTGTTCCCTGTACTTTCTCCTTCCATTCATCCATTGGTGGATGTTTGTGGTAATCCCATATCTTGGCTTTATGAATACTGTCCCAGTTAGCATGGGATACAGGTGTCCTCTGAACACGATGGTTAAAATTTCCTTTAGATGCAGTGGATTGCAAAGCCCATTTAAGCATAATCTTGACAGTTCTTCATTGAGCCAGTCTTGACTGTTCTGAACTCCTACGCAGCTTTTAGCTTTGGTCTAAAGTTAGGAGTTTGAGAGGAGGAGGCACTAAAACGGAATCCCTCCCTGTTGGCTTGTCCCGTGCTATTCTGCCAGCTCTCCCCATGGCTCATATGGGATTGCCCATCCCAGCTCTCAGTTTCTACCTGAACATCTAGACTTGGGGAGGAGGTGAAATTGGGTAAACCTTGGCATTCACAATGGAGCAAGGAACGGGGCTCTGAGAAAGTAAGCCATGTTTCTGGATCCCCCTAGTTAGACCCTACCTCAAAAAAGGGGAGTGGATGGCAGACTGGTTGGGAGAAGCACAAGGTGGTAGTCCTGGCAGAACAAGCATCATGAATCTCATTCAGAAGCAGACAACGACGATCAGATCTGACTGTCTAGTGTTAGTGTCAACAAACTTAGTGACCCAGATTTCTTGTGTGGTTTCTATAGTGTAGCTAGGCAGACAGCACCTTGCCAGTTTGCTTGGGAAATACCATCAGCTGAAGAGGAGAAACTCAGAAGATCTGGTTGTGTGGAGTGTGATGTAGCTGGCTTCACTGCCAGGTGACCACCAGCCCCTCTTGCTGCCTGCTGGCTCACTGCTGTGCAGCGACTGACCACTCTCTTCCCGTGCTCCTCTCTGTCCAGCTCAGAGCCTGCAAGATGCTATCTGTTGAATGGCTAACGCAGTCTATAAATGAACTATCCCTAGTTGAAAACATTGTAAAAAAAAAAAAAAAAAAAAAAACAAGGAAAAAAACCTAAATAAGTGAAAACAAGTGTCAAGAATTCACCTGAAGCCAGGCCA